GAGCCAGGACCTTCCTGTGTCCCCTGTGTCGAGGGTCGCCTCCGGGCTACTCCTCACTCCTCCCACTTCCCCCCGACAGAGGCTCCCTTGCAGACGCTTCACATGGATGTGTGGGGCCCAGCCCCCGTCCGTGGGCAGGGTTACGAGCGCTACTTCCTGTTGGTGGTTGACGACTACTCGCGTTACACCACAGTCCTCCCCTTGCGGAGCAAGGGTGAGGTCACTGAGGTACTGATCGACTGGATCCGCGAGGCTCGTCTCCAGCTCAGGCAGAGCTTCGGCTCAGACTTTCCTGTTCTGCGTCTGCACTCGGACAGAGGCGGAGAGTTCTCTTCTCGCCTTCTGCGAGACTACTGTCGTGCACGGGGGATCCGCCAGACCTTCACGCTTCCGGACTCACCACAGCAAAATGGGATTGCTGAGCGCCGCATTGGCATGGTCATGGATGTCGCTCGTACGTCCATGATGCATGCGGCTGCCCCCCATTTTCTGTGGCCGTTTGCAGTGAGGTACGCGGCGCATCAGCTCAACCTTCACCCCCGGGTCTCTCGGCCTGCGATGTCCCCAGCCTTGCTGTGGACGGGGAAGGTTGGCGATGCGTCTATGTTCCGTGTCTGGGGATCTCGGGCGTTTGTCCGCGACTTGTCTGCGGACAAGCTGTCCCCTCGTGCTGCTCCCTGTGTCTTCCTTGGCTTCCCCACTGACGCCCCAGGGTGGCAGTTTTACCACCCCTCCTATCGTCGTGTTCTGTCCTCCCAGGACGTCACGTTCGACGAGTCAGTCCCCTTCTACCGTCTCTTCCCCTACCGCACTCCTTCCCTCCCCCCTCCCCCGGACTTCCTTGTGCCGGTTCCCCCCCCGGTAGACCCCCTCCCCCCTCAGGTTCCTGCCCCCTCAGGTGTGTCCCAGGTAGACGCCGTTGACCCGGTCGAGGTTACTGGTGACTCTGGTGCTGCTGCGGGTGCTGAGCCTGGGGGTGCTGACTCTGGGGGTGCTGTGCGCGGGGGTGCTGAGCCTGGGGGTGCTACTGCTGGGGGTGCTGGGCCTGAGGGTGCTACTGCGGAGGGTGCGGAGCCTGGGGGTGCTGAGCCGGGGGGTGCTGTGCCTGGGGGTGCGGGGTCTGGGGGTGCTGGGTCGGGAGCTACTGAGCCTGGAGGTGCTGAGCTGGGAGCTGCTGAGCCTGGGGGTGCTGCGTCTGGAGCTGCTGAGCCTGGGGTTTCTCCTGCTGCTGCGTCTCGCCGGGAGCCCCTCTCTCCACAGGAGCTGCGCGAGTGGTTCGCTCGCCGCTGGAGACGTGCTGCTGAGTCTGGAGGTGCTGCTGGAGCTGGAGCTGGAGCTTCTTCGACCGTCGTGGGTGCGGGTGCTGCCGGTCCCGGAGCTGCTGGACCTGCGGGTCCTCCTGGAGCTGGAGCTGCTGAGGGCGCTGGTGCTGAGCCTACTGCTGTTGGTCCTGCCACTGGAGGTGTGGGTGGCGCTGGTGCTGTCGCTGAGGGTGCTGGTGCAGACCCTGCTGCGTCTGGAGCTGCCGCGCGGCCTCGGCCGTACTTCGTTCCGCTCTTGCAGTAGGTTCTTGGTCTTTCTCCTCCGGTAGAGGGTCCACCGCCTGACCAGTCGCAGTCCCTGCTGGAGTCTTCCTCTCCACTGCCTGCTCCCTCTCCTTACACTGGTCCTACTGGAGGTCTTGCTGAGTGTCGTGAGCCCGCGTCTCGTCCCGCGTCGCCTGTTCGTGCTGCTCGCGCTAGTGGTCGCAGTTCGCGTCAGCGTCCTCCTCCTGTCCCTGGCACGCACCGGATGTCTTTGCGTCCGTCCACTGCTCCTCTGCGTGCCCCTTTGCCTTCTCCTCCTGAGTCCTCTCTTCCTGCGCTTGCCGACCCTGAGTCGGACTCTCTTCGTGCTGCCAGTCCTACTGTCACGCGTCTCCTTGCTACTGTCGTCACTGACCCCTCTTTTGAGTCCACTGCTGCGTCTGCTCTAGTCGCTGAGCTCGTCGACTTTGCTGCTCGCTGTCGTCTCGACTACGCTGCTAGTCTTGTTGCTGAGTCTGCGACTGTCTGTCCTCCGTCCGTCGGGGGTGAGTGTGCTCTTAGCACGGACGTCCTAGAGGACAGGCAGGAGGAGTTACAGTGTCTAGCGGCTGCTTCACCTCATCTCGCGTCTGTACTGCTTGCCCCTGAGGGAGACCCGGATGCACTAGACATCCCGACTCCGCGTTCTTACGCGGAGGCCGTAGAGGGTCCCTACTCCTCTCAGTGGCAGGCAGCTATGGATGCAGAGATGGCTTCCTGGAAGTCCACAGGCACCTACGTTGACGCGGTTCCCCCTCCTGGGGCGAACATCGTCAGTGGCATGTGGATCTTCAGGGTGAAGCGGCCGCCGGGCTCTCCACCTGTCTTCAAGGCACGGTACGTTGCTCGTGGCTTCAGTCAGCGGCAGGGAGTTGACTACTTTCAGACCTTCTCTCCCACCCCGAAGATGACTACTCTTCGGGTGCTGCTGCACATAGCCGCTCAGCGCGACTACGAGCTTCACTCTCTCGACTTCAGCACTGCGTTCTTGCAGGGTAGCCTGCACGAGGAGATCTGGCTTCGCCGTCCACCTGGCTTCACTGGGACTTTCCCTTCTGGCACCCAGTGGAGCCTCCGACGGCCAGTCTACGGTCTCCGCCAGGCACCGCGTGGGTGGCACGACACACTGAGGACTACGCTTGCGGCTCTTGGGTTTGCTCCTTCTACTGCTGACCCGTCGCTGTTTCTTCGCACCGACACTTCCCTGCCGCCGTTCTACATCCTCGTGTACGTCGACGACTTGGTCTTTGCCACAGCAGACACTGCTGGACTCGCCTACGTGAAGTCCGAGCTGCTCAAGAGACACACGTGTACAGACCTGGGTGAACTGCGCAGCTACCTTGGCTTGCAGATCACTCGGGACAGAGCACGCCGCACCATTACCTTGACTCAGTCACACATGGTGCAGCAGGTCCTTCAGCGCTTCGGCTTCACGTACTCCTCGCCTCAGGCCACTCCTCTGCCTACTCGCCACTCACTCTCAGCTCTGCCTTCGGATGAGTCCGTAGAGTCGAGTGGTCCGTATGCAGAGCTTGTTGGCTGCCTCATGTACCTGATGACCTGCACACGACCTGACCTTGCATACCCTCTGAGCATTCTTGCACGCTATGTTGCTCCTGGGAGACACAGACCGGAGCACATGGCTGCAGCGAAGAGGGTATTGCGCTACCTGTGCAGTACGTCGGGCATGGGGCTAGTGCTTGGAGGGCAGAGTCCAGTGGTCCTTACCGGCCACGCGGACGCTTCTTGGGCTGACGACCAGGCTACGCAGCGGTCGTCACAGGGTTACACCTTCAGCCTTGGTTCCGGCTCTGTCTCGTGGCGGTCTACTCGCTCGTCTTCGGTTCTCGGCTCCAGTTGTGAGGCTGAGATCTACGCCGGGGCCATGGCTGCACAGGAGCTTCGCTGGCTCACCTACCTGCTGACTGACCTTGGAGAGCCGCCTCGTTCTCCTCCAGTGCTGTACGTAGACAACAAGGCTATGCTGGCCTTGTGTCGAGAGCAGCGCTTGGAGCACAGAACGAAGCACATTGCTCTCCGCTACTTCCTTGCTCGTGAGCTGCAGCAGCGTGGTCAGTTGCGACTTGCGTACGTGGCCTCTGAGGCCAACACTGCTGATGTGTTCACCAAGGCACTCGCGCCTTGTGACCATCAGCGCTTTTGCACCCAGCTGGGTCTTGTGCCTGTCTTGCCTCACTTGCTCTCCTCTTGACTTCACTTGTACTGTGACATATATATATGCCTGCTCTTGTTTGTCTAGTTTTATATATATGTCTGTACTCCTGCATGTGAACTGGCCTCTGGCCCTACTCTTGTGCTCGGACTGTGTGGTGACTTTGTGATCCACCCTGAGCTTGCTTTGCTTTGCTTGACTGGTCTTGTGACCCCTTGTTCTCCCCCACTTTGCCTATGGGGGTGTGTCAGATTTATATGACATAGTTGCTGTAGGCTATAGTGGGGTAGCACATATGGGGTACAGGGTTTCTAGGGTTGTATTTGTACCCAATCTTTCCTTAGTCATTTCATTCCTGCTTACTCATTTCATAGAATGATTGTGAAGGGAAAGGAAGTTGATAGGCCAGGAAGGAGGGGAGTTGCGAAAACAGTGGAGACACTGATACTATATATGTTGTTTTCGAAGAGTAACAGATGGGAAAAGGTGCTGAAGAAACCGCAGGGAAATACTTTTTAGAAAGAAGAGGGACAGGAATTCCCGGCAGTGCGGAGAGTTGGTTGTGGTGAAAGAGGGTGGATATACAAAGAAGCAAGGGGTGAAGGGGGGGGCAGGGGGATTGGGAAGTTGATGGGGGATTGGGAGGTTGATGGGGGCTGGCGGGGAAAGGGGGGGTAAATGAAGAGAGCAGTGGGGGGAGGAGATGCAGTGAGTGTGAGTGAGAAGGGAGATGAAACGGAACTGGAATTGAAAGGGCAACCAGGAAGAAAGGAGGTTCTGAACACGACAATACAAGGGAAAACAGCACGAAAGCGAGGACCGGACTGGACTCAGGAAGCAGCAAACAGAAGCAAAGCAACACCTGACGTCAGCATGAGCATTCCCCTCGAATCACCCAGCCCAGACCAAGTCAGCAGCATTCAGTCACTTCTCCCTGAATCACCCTTCCTGCACCCAGATCCTCTCAATCGCCATTCCTTCCCCACATGCTCCACCCCCTCACAACACAGAAGCACAGAATTCGCATCCATAGCAAACACCTTTATAAATATAGCTTAATGACTACATATTCCTAGCCTAGAACACAGCTTAAGACTACATGAAGCTTTGCACTATTCAAGAGCCAAGCAGGTGCATGGTGCAGCAGCGGATCGAAGGGCATTCAAGAGCCAGGCAGCTGAGCAGCAACAGATGCAACAGAGCACAGTCAGCATGAGCATTCAGGCACATCAGCAGCGGATCCAAGGGCATGCCATTCCACCTCATGCCATGCCTCCCCATTCCAGCTCACCACATTCCTCCACCTCTCCTCCCATCTCTCCCACAACACCCTGCAAGCAGGGTGGAAAAAGGGGTAAGTCCCTCCATGCACCTCCCTCTCGCCCCCACCAGCCATGCCATCTCACCCACCACACTCGCCCCTTCACATCCCCATTCAACACGACCTGGATGGAATAGTGCTGCTGCTGCTGTTTTTTTTCTATTTTTTTCTTTTCTTTTCTTTTTTTTCACCCTTTCACTTCGCTGCTACCTTCCCTGGCTTCGGAATGCCACTCGCACTCACTCCTGCTGCAACCCTCCTTGTTGCTGCACTGGTTGCAGGTCTGGGGATTCCAGATCCACCAACAAGACCCGCCTTCATGGTGAGAGGAGCTGCTGCTGCTGCTGCTGCTGCTGCTGGGCTGCTTGCACCTGCAGCCTTCACACCTACCGCGGTAGCAGGACTTGCACGAGTCGCCTTAGCTGGTGTCGCTGGCGTCACCTTAGCTGGCGGCGTCGCCTTAACTGGCGTTGCCTTGGCTGGCGTCGCCTTGGATGGCGCCACCTTAGCCTGCGTCGCCTTAGCTGGCGTAGCCTTAGCAGGTGTCGCCTTAATCGGCGTCACCTTAGCTGGCGGCGTCGCCTTAGCCGACGTTGTCTTGGCTGGCGTCGCCTTGGATGGCGCCACCTTAGCCTGCGTCGCCTTAGCTGGCGTAGCCTTAGCAGGTGTCGCCTTAATCGGCGTCACCTTAGCTGGCGCCTCCTTAGCTGGCGTCGCCTTGGCTGGCGTGGCTTTGACTGCTGCAGCTGCGACGGTCGCTTGACCGCTCTGCACCGCTCTGGGCTTCACAGCAACAGCGGTACCCATCACATCCCTGGGCCTGGGCTTCTTGCTGGGCGGCTTAGCCATGGGCTTGGGTGGCAGAGGTGAGAAGCCGAGCGACGCACGGGGGGAGCGCACAGCGCACTGCTCTTTCTCGCTGAAGCGCCCCACGCGCCATGCAATCGCGCGCCGCCACATCTTCAAGACGTTAGCGCCGCGGCGCGTGCGGCTGAAGCTGCTGCTGATGCCGCCCAGCGCAGAACAGCTCGCGGATCCAACAAGAGACGGGGTGGTCAGAGATGCCATCCCACTAGGAGAGAGCGGTCAAGAACACGGGCCGGAAGAGAGCCGAAGCTAGGAGCTGAAGCTTATCAAAGTTCCGAGGAGCTAGAAGGTGAGTCTGAGAGTTGAAGTAATAAGGAAATCGCAACTGCTGTGGTGGTGGTAATGAGGAGGACGGGTGTGCTTTGTAGTGTTTGGGAAGGGAGGAGGTTCCAAGGCGGAGGGAAGAGTGGATGGAGCTCGACTATGGAGAGAAGCAACTCTCGAGGCTACGGAGGAAGCAAACCTGCTGCTCGAACCGAGAAGGAAGAGATAAAAAACCCCCAAAAGTGCTCTGGCTCTGCTCTGTGTTAGGGGCCCAACCACGGAGGATTTGGCTAGCCAGTAGGAGGAGGCCGAGACCGCTGCTCCAAACCGAACCTCGAAGCTCGGCATCTGTTCAGCCAATAGGAGAAGGCCTAGTCTTTGGTCCCAAGCCGAATAACGAAGCCTGGCACTTCGGTTGACAGAATTGCGGCTCGTTAATCTACATTCACGGAGTTTCTGGGCAGCAGGATCAACTGAAGCTGCCCAAAAAATACCGGTCGCATTTTCCGTTAAGCTCGCTCGCTGTCCTAGCAACATGAAGCGGTTCGTCCACGAAAAGAAGGGGTCTGCTGGTGTGTTGACTGGATGATGGGTGAACTTGACGGACTTGCCGTCGCGAGACAAAACCAAGGCTGCTCAACGAATGATTCTGAATCGCTCATCGGAATTCGAGGTGACGCACCCGTTCTGCCTGGGACGACGCGGGGGGGTGACGGTCGACCGAGCGTCAGGGCGGCCAACTCCCTCGCGTGAGTCCCCCGCCAGGCTGGCGCGGGGCGGGGCTCTGCCCACGCCCCCCGCCCCGGCCCCCCCACCCCCAATTCCTACCGAACCCCACGTTGCAGCCGAGGGGTGGCGAACTCGCGCGTGAGCGATGAGGGGCCTAGTTACCCCTTCACGGAGGCGGACATTCGCTTCGCGTTGCCCGCGAGGCCCTAGTAACCCTCTCGGGCTACCCTCGCCGGGCAGGCGGGTTGGTTGCGAAATTCAAAGGGCCCGACCCCACCCTCGTCAACATCGCTGGCCCCTCGGGAGGGGACACGTGGCTCGCCCTCGCCACCCGGACCACCCCCACGCACGACCCACACAAACCACCCACCTCCGCCCCTCCGAACCCCGCCCTCGAGGGCATGCCCGGTACGGGCCGAAGCCGGAGGCTCGCCCTCGGCCACGACGACCTGCCTCGTCCGCCAAGCTGCATACTAGGCGACCGACGGCCCACGCCCTTTTCTTGATGGGGGGTCCCACTCCATCCGTCATTTCTCCTTTCCAACTTCGCTTTCCGATTTCCTCTGCCTCCCTGACAGCTCTCCGCGCTCCTCCCCAAACCTTCCGTGATACCGACCGTGGTGTTAGCATGGCGACCAGTAGGATAGCACTGCCTGCGACTGAATTCCCCCTCCACGTGCCAGTGGGCATCGGTGGGTACGCGGTGACGCTTGAGATGAAGGACTACGAAGTCCTTCGCGACGAGAAGGCCGAGTTCACAGAACCTTGCTTCGACCTCGGCCTTGCGTGAGCGTGCATCCCTAGGTCGCGTTGTTCGTCCTTGTCCTGCGCGTTTTCGTCGGCGTCCTTTCTAGGTCGACGTTGGCCTTGTCGTTTTTCCGCGTGGTCGACGATGTCCGTCTGCGATGGACGTTTTGGCGCTGCGTCGTCCTATTAACTAGTTTGCCTGTCCTCGACCATTGGCCCTACGTCGGTGACGTCCGTCATGCTGCCGGCGACATCGCCGTCGTGCGAAACCTTGGTCCAAGTCCGCTTGTCTTGCTGTCCGCGCTTTACCCCGGCGCCCGGCATGGATTGTAGCTCACCGCGCAAGTGTTTCGCTCCCCCCTTTTCGCCCCCGGTTGTCCCAGGTACGAGCTCGATCGTTTGGGAAAAGGCGACAGGATGATCCTGATCCGCGGTGCGAGTCTTTGCGCTGCCAGGACGGCGTCGAAGGCGGACCATCTGATTTTCGGGTCGGCCTTCGGCTTCGAAGCCCTCGCCATCCCCCTGTGCACCAGGTGAGTGTTCCGCGCCCGTGAGGTTTGATCCACGCCGACCGCGTTGCTTGTTGTTCGCAGACAGAACCCTGAATGTCTCCGTTGTGCTTGTGTGGGCAGTGGCGGACCTCTTCCCGGCAGGCACTGCAGCGTCCTGCTTGTTGTGCGCCCTGGCGACCTGCTTTTGCCCGATGAGGAGGAGATCGGGACGTTCTACCGCCACCTCGACCCCAAAACCTCCTCCAAGCGGCACGAGGAGGAGGCAGCCAACGTTCTAAGGTGGGACAACGTCGACGGCTAGTCGCGCCGCTCCTTAACGGCGTTCATGCCGCCTTGTCTGATGGCTCTTTTCCGTCTCGTAGCGTAGGTTTTTCGGCGAATGCGTGAAGGCGGAGTTGAACCGTGGGGGAAGGCAGTGGACGGCTGCGCCTCCTTCCGCCAAAGTCCTCTCCGAACGTCTGGAGAGTCTTGCCGCCCCCATCCGTGATGTGAGTTTCCAACGTCCATGTCGCCTTGTCGCCTGGGCTATCGTCGTCCAGGCGTCGACTCACCCTTTTCGTCGGCGCCATGTGCTTCGGATGTTGATGCAGAAATTGCCCGACATCCTCAAGGAGGAGGTCGCCGGCACGGGGCTGTTGGCGGTCAACACGTTCGCGTGGTCGTTGGAGCATCTGGACGACGTGCATCGCAGCTACGATCCGCTCATCGTCGAGAACCCGAAGATGGTCGGCTTGAAGGCGCTCCGACTGGAGCTGCTGCACCACGCGGAGAAGGCCGCGTCGAACAAAGGGGAGGCGGCGTCGACCGTGGCCCGTGGCTTCGGAACCGCCATTGCTCTGGGTGGGGAGGAGGAGCACGAGAGGGAGGACGTCGAGGGGGGCGGGGAGCACGACGGTGGCTCGGAAGAAGAGGAGGACGTGGAGCGTGAGGAGGACGACGTGGCTGTCACCGGCGAAGAGGAGGCAGTACAGTTCGCCGGTGAGAAGGTTGCGGATAAGAGCGGCGGCAGCGGACCCAATTTGGGCAAGAAGGCCCGGGGCAGCAGTGGCTCGACCCCGACTAGGATGGCGTCAAAGGCGGCTATCGAGCGTCTGAAGGCGGCGGAGAGGGAGATCAAGAAGTTGAGGGAGGAGAAGCTGGTGGCGGAAAAGAGGCTGGAGTTCCAGACGGCCCGGAACGACACGATGTACGGCGTGGTCACCTCGGCCGTGAACAAGCTCACTACAGTCGCCGAGGGCGTGACCCATCTCGAGCAGACGTCGGGGAGGAGCATCCAAACGGCGGTGGATGCTATGAGGGCGGTCGTGCAGGAGGCGGTGAGCTATTGCGACTCCACCCTAGAATTCATGAACACGCAGTGGCTGCCCACCGTGCAGGCCCTGCACTTGACGGCTACTGCTGCACAGGGTAGGCGACGGGAGGACGGCCTCCTGCTGCTTCGAGGTGTGGCAGATGCTCTTGGCCAGAAGATCAAAACAGTCGTGTCTGCCGAGGTGAAGGCCGCCATGGAGGGCGAGGCGCAGCGGATCGCCGCTGCCGTGACTGCGAAGGTCGTCCAAGAGCTTAGGGACGACCTGGTGAAGGCGGTCACCTCCGCGACCCAACAGGGCATTGGCACCGCCGGGTTTAGCCTCCTCCCAACTGCTCTCGCGTCGGTGATGCACGGCGGTCGCGCAACCGCCGAGGAGAGTGGGCCGGCCCCAAGGCAGTCGGGGAAAAGGGTCGCCGACGAAAAATCCCTGACCGACGACCAGACCAGCGGGTCTAAGCGAAGCAGAGGACCTGCGGTGAAACGCGGTGTGGGCGTGGATCCTCCTGCCCCTCCGTATGTTCGTATCCCCGGCGTCCACGACTTGCTGAAAGATGGACTTGGCGCGCGACCGAGCGAAGATTTTCGACAGGTTGACGTCGCGCTCCAGGATCCTCAGTCGGTGGTCGGGAAGACCGGTGGGCAGCCCGTGGGGGACAAGCAGCCACAGGCCCCGACCGATCCGCCGAGCGCACACGACGCGCCACCGAGCTGCGACCAGGTGAGTCTGGCCGACGAGCTCATGGGAGAGGCATCCGTGGTCGCGAAGCAGGGCTGGCAGCCAACGGCGGAACAGCATCCACACCCCGAGGCCAGTCCGGCGACTGCACAAGGCGCTCGACCGAGCGGCGGCACGGCCCAGATGGCAGACGACATGCACGTCGCAGCGGTGGTCGGCCAGGCGCGCGGGGAGCCCGTTGCGGTCCAGCATGCTCAACCCTCGACGAGTACGCCGACTGCGCGACCGACCGGCGTCACAACGCAGCTGCCCGACGACCTCCTGCGCCCCGCAGCGGTTGTCGGACAGCAGGGCGGGCCGCCCGGTGCGGGCCAGCATCTTCACCCGTCGACGAGCATGCCGACCGCACAAGACGCGCGTCCGGCTGGCGTCACGGCGCTGGTAGACGAGCTCTTGCGCCCAGCAGCGGTGGTCGGACAGCAGGGCGGGCCGCCAGGTACGGGCCAGCATCCCCCCACCGCGACGAGTCCGGCTGGCGCCACGGCGCTGGTCGACGAGCTCTTGCGCCCAGCAGCGGTGGTCGGACAGCATGTCCAGCAGGCTGCCGGTGCGGCCAGCTTACCCGTTCATGGGGCCATGGTCGCCGCGGAACCGATCCCGATCCCAACGGCTGTTGAGTCTCGGGCGGTCGAGGCTCTAGTCAGTCAAAAGCCATCGTTCGACGAGTATCTGAAATGGCTCGAGGATCAGGGTCAGAAAACCCCGGTAATTCCTCCGACTCACAGCAACCAAGCGGTCGACCAAGGAGCAGAGGCAGCGAACGTCGCGGCGGCGACTGCAGGGCCGAGTGGCTCAATGGTGGAGGCGGCCGTGTGGAGAGCGGCGGAAGAGGCCGGCGGGGTGGACGAAGAGATCCTCGCCAGCATCGTGATGCCGGACCCGGAAATTGAGGTCATGCGGGAAAAACTACAAGCAGCAGCTCCCACCGTGGGAGCGCAACAGGGTGCACCAGCCGCCTCGACTGCTCCTGCGGAGGACCATAGCGCGGCTGGCGCCAAATCCCCCCCGGCCACAACCGATGAGGTCGGCGATGGGAAGCAGAAGCGCAAGGGCAAGGACAAGGCGAAGGGCGGCCCGGCGAAGGTCGGCTCTTCCAAGGGGACGTCCAAAGCGGCCGCGCAGGGTCGGAAGGGTTCAGGCGTCCGCGTTGACCCTTCAAATGGGCTGGCCATCTCGGAGATGAAGTTTGGGAAGAAGAGCCATTACATCTGCCGGTCGATGGACAAGTCCGAGGCCGCCTACTGCATCGCTGTCGCCGTTTCGTCATTCGACGGCTTCGTCAGCGACGTGGTTCTCGAGGAGTTCGGTGGGGTCAAGGAGGAAGTGATGGCGCAGTATAAGGCGGACTGGAATGTGGCGCGATTGATTCCGGGGGGCATGTGGATGGTCATGTGGAGCCGAGGGGCGAACGTCTTCCGCGACAGGTAAGCTTGGCGAATGCTCAATTTGGTGCTCGTTTCGGTCGGTTCGCGTGGGGCGGTCGGTGACGGTGGGTATTCCTGCTGTGTTTCGCAGGTTCCAACAGGTGGTCGCGGAATACAACAAGATAACCGGAGCCAACCGCGCAGCTCTCATGTTGGCTCTTCGCCCGGCGGTGTGGTTCGGCGACCTTCCGGAGTCGACCGAGCCGGAGAAGGTCGCGAAGAAGAAGGTGGCGAGCGACATGATCGCACGCGTTTCGATGTGTGCCGCCTTCGCATCGGTGGCCGCGAAAGTGACGCCCATTCCGGGCGTCGGGTCGGAGCGGTTGTCCGAGATCCTCGCCGGTACTGCGGCCGCGGTGTGGTGTTTTTTGGAGACCAATGCCACGGCGGAAGTAGCGGCCGGCGAAGGGGGGGCGGCAGCGACCATGCGCGGAGCGTCCAACGAGTTCGCGAGTCGGTGTCGGACCGTCATCGAGGCGGTGCTTCAGCGGGCGGCCTCCCGGGTGGTCGTCGTAGGGGAGGTCGCCGAAACGGTGACGAAGGACCTGCAGGCGGCTGTGGTGAGGTCGCTGCCTGAGGTCGGAGAGGAGCGCGAGCACGACGAGCTGATCGCCCGAGTCATGATAGAGAACCTCGCCTTCTGGGGGGACTGCAATGTCGGAGGCCTGAAGCTCAAGGCTCGCGGCGTCGATTTGCCTATCGACCCCTAGATGAAGATTATCATTCGGGACAGGGGGGCGAGGGGGCAGCAGCACAAAGGGAAGCAGGTCGCCGACGCCTAGGTCGACGAAGGCTGGCCCGCCTGCTCGTAGCATGGTCGGCGTGGGTGCAAACGCTGCAGGCTTTCTGACGAAGACCTACGAACGCTGGCCCGACCGCTCGTGACATGGTCGACGTGTCCGGTTTCGGGTGCTGTTTTGTTGTTTTGTTGTGCCTCTCCGGCTTAGGGATGCTGAACTTGTTCGTCGGTAGTTTTTCAGAAACGTTGTGAAGTAGGTTTTGTGGTGTGGAGTCGGTTTGATGCATGAACAAGAGACAAACTTCTACTAATTTACAAGTCGAAACAACGTTGGCAGTAAAAGAAAACCATATAGGATCACTAGAACAGGTCGGACACGCTCAGCACACCCCCAGCCCACTCTCAGCCCGCCCTCAGCCCGCCCTCGGCCCGCCTTCAACCCACCCTCAGTCACACCACGCCCAGCCAGCAGCACAAGTCGGACCCAGCCGCAGTACCCTCAGCCCGCCCTCTTACGCTTCCCTGCGCCGATGGCTCCCGCCGTCGCCTCGGCCTCCAAGCCGGCCTTATTGCTTGCTCATCCCACAAGTCGCCGAAGAGCCTCTTTCCCCAGTCAGCGTCCATGTAGCCCGCCGTGACCACGCCCCACGCAACGGCGAGCTTCCTCGCCAGCGGCTTGTTCAGACCCTTGATGCCGACCGACTTTCCGTCGGCTGTGGTGGGGACCTTGATGGGTGGGGTTGCACGGAGGACCAAGAGCGCGTCGCTGAAAGTGGAAAGCCCCGTTCGCCCTAGGTTGTCGAGTAGCTTGATGACGGCGGCGGTGTCAGCGGCGTCGTCGCTCCGCCGCAAGTCGTGCACCGCTTCCATGATCCGCCTCATCCGGCGAGCGCAGTGCTGCAGCGCATCGTTTTTCCCCGTCTCACCCACCTCGGTCGTGGGACGAGAGCTCTTCGCCGACTTCGCCGACGCGGCGGGTTTGTCGCCCTTTTCAACCTTGCAGATCATGCGCGTGTGTCTGACGAGGAATCTGTGCTCGTCGTAACGTTCGCGCAACGGACGCGAGTCGAAGTTGGACGGGTTGTTCCACCAGCGCCATGCAGCCTCGACCGTCTTGGATGTGCGCCAGGGATGCACGACGTTGACCTCGTACGTCAGGTCATCGTTCTGTTCCTTCTTGATCTTGACGGACGCTGCCTTCTCGGCGGCGGTCATCGGCCTTAACGGTGCCGGCGCAGTCGGCGTCGGCCGTGCCTCGGCCAGCTTGAGAGCGTTCATCAACTTCGCGATCTCCGCGTCCTTCTCCTCCAACTTCTTCTGCATTTCAAGCTTCTCGATCGCGGCATCCTCCCTCTGGCGGTGCAGCATCATGGTGAGATGGTCGACCTGATATTCGGCGTCAACTCGCGCGCTGAATTCATGCGATCCAAGGGGGATGGTCCGCAAAAGGTGAGGCAATGTGGCAGGACGACTTGTTTTACAGGTCGCCAAAACGCGCACGCCGTACCTCTTGGGGGTTCTCGCTCGGAGTACTGCGCGTCGCGATGGTTTCGAGGTCCATCCGGTTGACGTCCTTGGCCCATTTCTGGAAGTCGGGGTCGCGGCAGAGCTTGGAACTCTGGACGTACGGGTGCCACGGTTCGCGCATCAGCATGCACGCAAGATCCTCGGCAACGATTCGGCGGTCGAACTCGATGAGCGATTGCAGGAAGTGCACCCCGGCCGTGTTGGGCTCTCTCGCGGATGCGCATTTTACCGCCTGCGAGTCGAACACAAACACAAACACAATCAGCCGTCGGTAGAATGTCGTCGTGGAAATGGTCGGCGGGCTGTCGGCGTTTTTGCCGTCCGAAATGCTCACCTTGGCCAGTTCCGCTTCCGCCCACGGAAAGATGTGCTGGGCGATGAGGGCCACCACCTTGTCGTCGGGCTTCACCATGCTCCGGCCGAGGTGGTAGTCGCCGCGCTTGCCCGTGTAGCCGGCCTTTCTCAACACCGTCGCCTTCGGGATGGTCGTGATGTAGCTCTTCGCGAGCTTATCGAGCGCCCAGTGGCCCAAGTCGGCGATGTCAGATCGCGGAACGCCGTCGTCGGCCAGCTCCTGTGCCCCACCCGCCCGGGCGGCGTGGGTGTTGCGCGTGATGAAGATCTTGTTCGTCCGCCACATCTCTTTCGTGATCCGAGAATGTGATGAAGCCGGCAGCTCTTTTTGTGCCTTGTCGTTCCGAGCATGAAAGAGGTGCTTGTGATACCAGCTGTACGGAGTTGTGAAGTCGAGGGGCGGCACACATCGAGAGGTGGGCGAGCGGCTCAGCTGGTCGTACACGAAGTGCAGCCACAACAGTGTGTGACCAACGGCGCACATCTCTTGCTCCAGGTGTCTCGCCGCGTAGCTGTGATGCAGACGAGCATCCTTGTTCGTCTTGGAGTTTCGTGACGCGACGACCATGACAACCGGCCGTCGCGTGGAGTGCTCGGGCGACGCGTTCCCCATTCTGTACAAAAACAGGTCGGGGAGCTCGATCGCTCGGAGACTGCCTCCGCGGAGAAGGGTGTGGTGACCCAAGAGGGTCATCGTCTTCATCAGCAGAAACTTCCACAGTGTCTGGGAGGGGGTGGCCGCCTTGGGTTCGTACGCCCGAGCTGCCCAGGTCGGCAAGACCTTGAACATGAGGTGGCGGATCTGGTCGGTGGTGTACGTGTCGCCGAGCGTTCCGCGGTGCCGGTCGGCGCAATCCCTGCACATCAGTTTCCACGAGGACTGGGTTAGCTGGGCAAACCGGGAAACAGGCGTGAACCGCGCGGGACGACTTGCCGACTTACCTGTCGTCCCTGTGCCACTTCTCTCTGACCATCGCGCGCACCTCCGAGCGGACCTCGGAGATGTCGTACATGATGTGGAGCTCCTTCACCCCGAAGAGCGTCCCCTCGACCTTGCAGGCCGTCTGGAGCGCTTTGATGCGGATGAGCAGCATCGAAACGGTTGTCGGCTTCAGGGGCTGGACACGGACATCGGGATTCAGCTCCTCGAGCTCCTCGGCCTTTGCAATACCTTCCTGCCTCGCGATTGACAGAATGTACGCCTTGATCCGCGTGGCCTTGACGCGGGGACCGTGCATCCATTGTAGGTCGCCCTTGGCGGTGTGCCACTTATCACCCATGTCTTCGTCGATGTTCCTCCCTATCTCGTCCTCGTGTTCCAGCACGCCGTCCCCCTTGACTCTGGCGGTTTGCTGTCTTGGAAGGTTCGCGCAGCACCATCTCCTGAAGTCGAGCAGCGCCCGCAGGTACTGAATCCGGGTCGTTCTCGCCTCCAGCGTGTCCAGATGCCGGAAACCCCACATCATCCTCAGCAATCTGTTCTTCTTGGCGAGCTCTTTGTTGATGTCGAAGGCGGCTTCTGCAAAATCGTCGCGCGGAATGTTTTGCAGGAAGGCGTCATCTTTCTCGTCGGCTGCCAACAAGTCCTCTACGGTCAGATACATGTAGTCGTTTTCTGGAAATGGTCCAATTGGCGGCGGCTGCTCCGTGACCGAACGCGGCGAGTACCGGTCCGGCTCGGGTTCGGGAGCCCCTTTCGTCCCTGCCGGTAGGGGGATGGTCGGGTCGGCGGGAATTTTTGCCCTAGCGGCATCTACGTCGACCACCATGTCGGCGGGAATATTTGCCCTAGCGGTGTGTACATCTTCCTCCATGAAAGGCTCGTTCACGTCGGGAATCGCGCTTCTCCCCGCCGGCGGCGCGACGCCAGCCATCTCGGCGGGTAGAGTTGTTCCCGTCGGCCTCTAGTTGTCGCCGCGATCTCGCTGCGGTACGTGCTCAGCCCACCAAAGTCGATACTGCACAATCGCTGCCGTGTATTGCCTTCGCGCCGTGGCCCTAAAGGCCGCCCGTCTTTCGGCCCTCTCAACGTTCTCGGCGATCGTCAACTCCGCGGCAATGTCGGTCAGTTCGGGAATTTCAGGAAGTAAGGGCGGCGGATTGGTGTTCTGCTGGGTGATGTTCGGAGTGGACGTGGTCGGCGGCACAATGGTCGGCGGGGTGTGAAGTGGCAATGTATCGTTCGGCGGGGTGTTGTCCGGTGGGATGTTGTTAGACTGGTCCCTGACCATTGGAGGCCGCATGGGGGATCACCGGCGATGACAATACTGGTTGTGGGTTTGAAGAAAGAGGTCGGCGACTTTCGGTTGTTGTCGACCTAGTTAGTCGGAAGCCCGTAAAGTTTGCCGACCTAAACGCACTCTACACCGGCGTGGCTCGTCGTCGACCCTACACCACGCGTGGTCGGTCGGTCTCCGAGAAGCGTGAAAATGAGCAAGGGAAATGTGGCTCACCAGAATGGAAATGAATGCAACGCAACAAACAAGTGTCGAAATGCCATGGACACTTGGCCGTCAGGGGGTCATAGCATAGAGAGGCACAGTCGCGGTTCGGGCGGACAGGTGTTGGCGGGCGATCCGTGGGCATGTCTCCAACTCTGCATGCAAGGCAGAACGGCACGGCGGCGCAATGGTCGACGTTGCACGGGGCACTCATGTCTTTTTCGCAGCCGACTGTCCGGTGTTCCCGTCACGGTGAGCCGTGCTTACACGTCGGCGTGACGCAGCAGTGCTCATGGCGTCGCCCGACGATGGTGTCCCGCGGGGACGTTCCCGCCAGCAGGCTGGCGAAGGCTTGATCGCCGCGTGGACAGACGTTTGCCGATCGATGTTCGCCGCGTGGAATGTTGTGTTTCGGATGGGCGACGTGTGGCTCTGCGCGCCAGCGTAGTGGTCGGCCAGAAAACGCGGTGGGCCTCACGTCGCAGTCCGCGCCGATGGCTAGGTGGACGTCGTGGCACGCTGACCGCGACCGGCGTCGTCGAGGTGTCGACCTCGTACGGAGGGTCCGTTGAGAGGTGCTATCGGGGTATTTTTCATCGGGATTGCCGGGTGACGCAGGGTGACGCTCCTCGCCCAGGACGTGCACTCA